CCCCAAAACCCCAAAACCCCAAAACCCCTTGAGTAGCTATTTTCCATATTGTTGAACAGAAAATATTAAATTTAGAAAGCTGATTGATAAAAGAACCTTGTTTTTTAATGAATGGGAATATGCTGAATGTGTTTATTCATAATTATAATAATTATAACTTTATTATTCATAAAAAGTGGAGACTTTGTTAGATGTCCAAGTCATCTGTTGTCTTATTGTGTTACAATGTACTGTATAGTTCTGCAATCTTGTGTGCATACATGCAAGGAGCAGGGACCTTGATGGCTCCAGACCAATTGAAATAGTAGAAACACAAATCAAATGTCAATTTTTCAATAGTTGCTCTATCTAGTGGAGAGTCATTATAAATGACATAGAAGTGTGTAGGAATGACTGTTCCTTAAGTTGTCTTTTGTGGAATTAGATAAAAGTCAAAATCTTGATTTGAAGTTATTTCACCAACGGTAGTTGAATCAATCACACAACCAGAAGGAGGATTCTCAAGATCTTGATTATGATTTTCGATGAAGAATCTTTGATTTATTCTCTTATTGACTACTATCACAGTAATCTTTGGCTTATTGCTTGATTTGTTATATGTCTCATTTATTGCGTCTTTGAATTAGGTCACTTCAGATTGAAGTACATCACGTCTTTGTTGATCTCCAACACCATCTCTATAGATAATGATGTGTTCTGGATAGGAATCGTTTAAATTTTCATATGACTGTAAAGCTTGTTTGATCAAGGCTTTCAACTACTTCGATACGATTTCAGTTTTTTTAGCTTGATAAATTTTGTTTGAATAATATTGGCTCATTTCCTTATTAATTGTTGCACAAAATCCAACTGTAGATTTATTTCCAGCATGGCATACATCGATTCCACAAACCATAGTCTTCTTATTTACGTTCTTAGAGAATTTGATCTTGAATAGGTCGCCACCTAGTTTGGAGTTTATCTATTTCAAGATATTAGAAGCAATTGAAGGCTCAATCTTGTTTGCAATTTTGAAGCTAATAACTTAGCTCTTCACACTCTCATCATAGCAAATCTTTTTAAAATCTTTATACTTATCGTCCTTTGGAATAATGAAAACAACTATTATAGGCTTGCCATATGTTTTTATGTATGCTTGTAGTTCTCTCTTGAATTCAGAACAATCTCTGGTGTTTTTAAGTTCCATCTTATGAGAGTATTCAACAGTCATTCCTAATTTTTGTGAAGCCAGATACAACATATCTTCAACTTTTTAGCCTAATGTTCTACTTCTTTAATCAAAGGCTAGAATCCACTAAGAATCAGTTAATGTAACAGAATTTTGTATGCTTAGAGCTCTAAAATCGTTTTGCTAGCATATCTTCTCAGTTCCATCTCCTAATTAAACCAAAGGACTCTCTAGGACCTTTGATTTGAACTCCATAGGTTTCATATCTACTTCAATACCCCATTCTTTAAGAATTTTCTATGCAAACAGCTTTTTGCTGAAGCCTTCAATAGCATTAAACTTTTGATTGGGGGTTTTCCTAGAGGATGTCAATAACTCTCTCATTGTGTTAAAGTCATTAGAGATGCTATTAGGAAGCTTATCAACTATACATAACTCAGGAGGTACATGAACTTCTTTTCCATTCATCTTTACCAAAAATAAAGGTTGATTCTTTTCTAGTTTGGGGTTCAGAGGCTTACTTCTTAGTGACTTTGGATCATTTCTTTTGTTTTCAATTTCAATCTTTGATTTGAAGTACTCTGCCATAGTGACTGTATCTCCATTTTTGTCCACAAAGGTGAAAGTATAGGGATCTTTGTCGAAAATCACATCAAGGACCAAGTATGGGATTTTTTAACCCCATTTGCCAATCACAGACTTAAACATGAATTCGTCCAAGATAATCTATCTTACATCTTTTGGATTGATTGTTTCATCTTCCTCAATTTCTCTAATGATTTCCAAACAAGTTTTGTTGTAGATAAATTTGTTCACGCTATCTAGCACCACTGCCATCTATGTTGAGTAAGAAAAAGCAGAGGCTCTGAATCCAGGGCAAGATTGTATCAAGCCATCATAGAATGATCTACCCTAAGATTCATCAAAGAACTTTGGAAGTTTCCCAATTTATCTAAGATTATCCATTCCTCTTAGAGCATTCTTAAGAATGTTGTTAATAAGGTTCATAACTTAAATTCTATCGTTCATCCCTATTTCTCCCAGGCTATTCTAGTTGAATGAGACTTTGCTAGAGGCGTTAATCACAATCTCATATTTTTTCCCATATATGTCTAGGTCTACAGTCACATCCTCGCCCAAATCAACTGGAGTAAAAATTGTTCTCCCACTGACTGTATAGGTGCCTATAGAGAGGCAAAAAGACTTTCTTGCAGCATGCATAATATCATGATATTCTTAAGTCTCTTGAACAGATGGAGTCACAATAACTTCATATTGATACACTGCCATGTTCTTTTTAATGTTTACTTTGAACTGATTTGTATAGATCATTACTTCTTGAGTTGAAGCAGCAGATAAGCTTGTCTTTGGTCTGTCATTGAATCTTTGATTATTGTTATTTCTATTTTATTGTTGATTGTTTGATCTACCTTGTCTTCTTTCCATGATTTTATATATTTGAGTTAAAATTATTAATAGATAGTAGTATGTCATCTATATAAAAATTTAATGATTTAATGCAACAGATTTTATTATTTTTGTCAAAAAAATAAGAAGAATATCAAATTTTGTAGCCGGGGTTTTGGGGTTTTGGGGTTTTGGGG